ATGAAAAAAAAAAAAAATTGGATTAGAAAAATACCAAAAGTGAACTCTTTCTTAAAAGGTTGAGTCTTCGCCTTGCCCATCTTCGAACTTTTTCCCGATCACAACTCTCGCCGGAGGAATGTTGATGAGGTGGAGAAACTCCAAATAGTGAAATATATTGATCAATAGAATTTATAGAAGTTGAACCGTAAATAACGCAATGAAATTTATACAAACCCCCCTGGACGCTGCACTAATTTGCAAGATACCCACGAGCTTCGGAAATTACAAAATCCACCACAATATTAAAATCTTAAAAATATTTTATTAATTTTAAGAATCACAGCTTGAGTAAAATCGATTTTGTTTTTAAATTTCAGATAAAAAGAAACAAAAATAATATAATCTTTTAGAAGAAAATCAAATTCTTAAAACGAATACACAATTTAGCCTTTATTGCTAAAATTGAAATGGTACTAAAAAAAAATATGCAATTTTTAGCCATATATTGGTAAACCCATTGAGCCTCAAACCAGTAATTAATTAGTCCCCAGCGCCTCTCTTCCGTGGAAGGTCGGAGCAGCTGGCACGACCATGAGCACGACTGAGCAAAGCCAGTGGCAGCTACATCGCGGCCAGTACCTCGGAGAAATCTCAGCCCTCTGTTTCCTCCATCTACCCCCTCACGCCTCCTCTCTCCCTCTACTCCTCGCCGGTTTCTTCCAAACTCAAACGCATACACCATTTTTTTATAGCTTTTGCAAGCTTGTGATGAATTCATGCTGACCTTATATTCCCTCGCACAGGAACTGGTTCTCAGATTCTAGTATATGATTTGAAGAGTGGAGATATACTAAGATCGTTTCAAGTCTTCGAAGGGATTCGTGTTCATGGTATATCTTTGGGGAATTCTCACAAACACTTTCCGTGCACTTGTCCCGTCTTTCTGGTTGCTGTCTATGGAGAAAGGAAAGTGAAGCTCTTCACATTGAAAGTTGAATCAGATAGACCTACTTTAGATATGGAACTGACTCTTATGCACTCACTGCCGAAGTTTGGCCATTGGGTTATGGATGCGTGCTTCTTGAAGGTGAAAGTGATTGGCATTGCTACTCGCTATATGATTATTGTTTTTCAAACTGAAATTTTCTGTTGGCCTTTTAGGATAAGTTTACTTTAAATATTTATTTGTTTATTTTGTGTGCAGTAGGATGGTACAACAGCAAGTGAGGGTGCTCGTTATCTTGCTGTTGGATGTAGTGACAACTCTTTGTACTTCTGGAATATTTTGGGAGCTAGTATGTTTTCTGAAGTTAAAAGTGCAGGTCAGATGCTTGCATTCTATGTACTTGCTCACCATTCTTTTTATGCAGGATATGATATTTTAAACATTAATGTGTTGGATTGGTCAAGAATAAGAATTAATGAGGACCACTCTGCTAATTGAACAATGGTTTTAGCGCGAAACAGGAGTGTCTTAAATTCTCAATAGCTAGATATATGTGTGAGCTCACTCATATTATTTTGCTATAATTTTGTTCTGGAATATTATTTCTTCATCCAATATGCTTTATTTCAAAATCTTAAAATGTGCTGCTCTACCATGAAATTTGCAGAGAAGTGCCTATTATATTCCATGAGTATGTTAGGAAATGAAATTGAATCTCTCCGAATTGCATCTGGTACTATCTTCAATGAGGTAACTAACAACATTATATTTTCATTTTTCTTTGAAGGTCTTTCTCTTATTCTTCTTTATACTTGGTTAATCACTCTTTTTGGGTAGTCACACGTTCCTTTCCATACTTCTGCAGTCTCATGGATTCCATACTATTTTTTCTGTTTGCATTATACTTTTAGATTCAATGAATGGTTAATCATCATTCATTTAGTAGTCTTCGTGTCTGATGGTCAAAATTGCTTATAGTGGACTCTAATAGTGTTTTTTTAAAAGAAATTTCAAAATACAACTGATGTGGGTCTATCAATGTCCGGCTATTTTACTCGTCCAACTTATGAACCAGATGTATTCACTAAATGAGGCTTTCATTTGAAATAACAACTGTACTCAGACGTCGTAGTAAGCATTTCATTGTAAAAGGTGAGTTCAGTTTTGTGTAACATTAAATTGACCCTTGATCAATTGAATAAGATGATTTAAATGCGGGGAAAAGGGTCAAGTACACCTTTGATGTTTGGGGTGAGGTACACATATGCCATAAAGTATTTTGAAGTACAAATGCACCGTGTAAGTTAGGGAAAAGGGTCGATTATCCCCTTGATGTTTGTTGTTATATATGAATATGCAATTGGAGTATTGTTAGGTACAAATATACCATATACATATATAAGGTTAATAATTTACTAAAAATAGATTAAAACTTTCCCACAAAAAAAAAAGTAAAACTTTACTAGATAAGGATTTTTTAAAACATTCACTTTATTTTTTTTCTGTTTCATTTTGGTTAATTTTTTCTTTACCATTCGTGGTGAGATTATTATTTTTGTTTTAAGTAATGTGATATCAATAATTGACTTAAATATATTGATTAAACTTTCCAAAAGGTTTCAATCAATTATTTCATTTCTACCTAATCTAAATTTATTTTTATTTAAATTGATTTGATATTAGTCTGTGAGTAAACTTTTCAAAAAAATTATAAGTAAACTTTTCAAAAAAATTATAATTATTTATTTCATTTCTACCTAATCTAGAATTTTATTTGTTTTGAAAAATATAAATAACAAATATGGATATATATTAATCACTTAAAGGATAGTCATTTATAATTAGAAAAATAATAAATATGAAATTTAAAAGTGTGTTTGAAATGCATAAATGAGGAAATTTCTAGCTAATGTTTTGTTCTATTTATGTTTTATCTTTATTAATATCCATGTATTGTGTGTGTGTGTTGTTTTTTTTTCATTTTACTTATTAAGTATCATTTTCATTTTTAAAAAAACTTAATACTATTTTTATTTGTTATGCACTCTTTATATATCATATTAAATTAGCCTTCCATTTATGATCTTCGATTTGACAATAATGTATGTATAAATAAACAATAACTATTTCTAAAGTATTAATAAGTTTATTAATTAATATTTCATATAAAAAATGAACTTAATTTTGTTATTTAATAATGATTTAGAAACAATGAATTTAGTTTAAAGTTATTTGATACAATAAACTGCAAAAGTATGTAATAAAATTTGTTTAGTATAAATTATAAAATAGTCTAAAATAGTTATTGCTACGTTTATCCCACCTAGTTTAAAAAATTAATGCAATAAAAATATATAAATAATTATTTCAATGATCAAATGTATATGATATTAAAATAATAAACCAACGGGTCATCTGTCAACCTGTCATCTAAATTACTAGATTATAATGAATCAAAATATTTATAATATATACTATTATAAATTATGATAAGCATTTTGTATATGGCATAATGTCCTAGAAATGGTAAATATGTTCTTAACTTTTTATTAGATTGGTATTGTTGTCCGATAATGTATCGGGAATTTAATTTTTCTTGTTATGAAAAGATATATGTCAAATTAGTTATCTTTAATGCTATATTTTGTACCTAAAAGTACTTAAAGGGCATATTTACCCCTTACAAACATTAAGGAGATAATTGACCTTTTTTCCCAACTTAAATGATGTATTTGTAATTTAAAATACGTTATGGGCATATGCGTACCTTACCCTACCATTAAGGGTGTTTGACCCTTTTCACTTAAAATGTGTGCAAGATAATCATGTTCCATTACCACTGTTTTGTTTAGCTTACTTGTTCACTTTGACATGAAATATATGTGTCAGGGTGATCTTATGCTATCTATTTGGTGTATGTGACTTGTGGCTGTACTTAATGATGAGTTAGGCCCTTTTGAGAAATTATCGGTTCTTGTTATTCTTGGTTTATGAGAATGTTCAGGAATCATTTCAGCTTTTTTGCTTCTTGGCTAAGTAGATTATTGTATTATTTTTTGCTACCACACCCATGGGCATTTGAATGAGAAAATAAAAGGTTGATGTGTGGAGAACTGTTTTGGTTTTTGGCAGATAGTTGTCTGGAAAGTGGTTCAGAACCATGCTATTATTCATGAGGAAGACCATGCACGGCTGCCTAGTGATGGGGACAGCCTTCATCTTGATTCCAAGTACAAGGATGCTCTTATAAGTAGGCTTGTAGGGCATGAAGGTTCAATCTTCCGGATTGCATGGTTCTCTAATGGATTGAAACTAATCTCTGTTTCCGATGACCGCAGGTAAATATTACTTTCACACACATAATGTAATTGACTTCGCTCAGTAAAGCCAATGAATCCCAGATTAGTAACTCATTGTGGGTTGCCACTTATTCATTGGTTCAGTGCTCGTATTTGGGAAGTTGAGGCCGAGAACAAAGTTTCATGCAAAAGTTTGCCGGGTTGTGTAAATCACTTGGTCGGCCCTGTTCTATTTGGGCACAATGCCAGAGTCTGGGATTGCTGTATATTTGACTCTGTAAAGCTTTCCTTTTCTTTTCTTGCTTGTGTTTTCATATTTACATTAGACGCTGAAGGGCACATGTTATTTCATGGAAAAAATTTTAATGGTGTGATTTCTTGTTTGTGCCAGAAGGCTATGCTTTCATGTACGGCAGATTTTCGAATAATTTATTTCCTTTTGACATGAAACACAAAGATTGTACTCATAGTTTTGTTAACTTATTTTAGTCACTTAATAACCTACTCAGTTAATTATCACTGCCGGTGAGGACTGCACGTGCCGTGTTTGGGATCATGATGGAAGGGAACTAAATGAGATCAAGGAACATATGTAAGTATCTATTCTGGAAAGTGTTTCACCAAGTTGTGGATGTTGTTAATTCTTTTAGTTGTAAGGTGTTCAGGTTATTCATCTACTGATTCTTTTTCCAAAGCCTATAATGTATAAACACGACAAATTTTCTTTTTGTATTTATTTGGCAGGATGTATTGTAAGTATTATTCTATGGATATTCTAGTATATGAAAGTGATTTAATTTCAGTTTTGTTATTTTTTCTGTTTTGGTCTGTGATATGGTTTCCCTGGCCGCACGAGTTCAAATTGGTAACTTTGTTGCTAAATCTCAGACTTGTACTATCTACTATAATCTTTTTGCAGTGGAAGGGGTGTGTGGAGATGTTTGTATGATCCAAGTTCTTCACTTCTTGTCACTGCTGGTTTTGATTCGGCAATTAAAGTTCACCAGTTTCATGCATCTTTCAAAGGATTAGAAGGAAATGTGGAACAAGATGATTTCAGTAACAGTAAGGAAGTGTTTGCTATTTCTTTACCCAATTTGTCAGAGCATGATGGGCCCATGGACAGGTATATTAGTGGTTGCCCTACTTTCATCACTTTTTGTTTTATTCTACAGATGCCTTTTATTTGTTTAAAAACTACACCAAAATGGTTTTAATGAGGCGTTTATTTACACATGCTTCTTCATGGTAGGCTAATATAAGTAGCCAAACAATTTTTCTGTGTGCTCAATAACATCACGCAACATATTAACAGAAGCGTAACTTCAAGGTTCCGTTTCATCTGATACATCTGCATCTTGCTAGTGTTGGTACCGCTGTTTCATTCAGGTGAAGAGTTATTGTGCTATCGACTATGTTACAGAAGTGATAAATGAGCCTGAGTAGAACTCATCCCCAAAAGTTAGCTCAAAGGGAGAGGATGCAAAAACCACACTTAGAACACAATAACAGCCTAGTAACTAATCAATGTGGGACAATTATAACTTGTAACGCCCACCCTCACCCGTTGTGTGCCAATCCAAATGGGTCGGTCCAAACCAAGCACCGTCTTCAAACAAACAACTTGAGTGCTCTGATACCATGATAAATGCCATGATAAATGGGCCTGAGTAGGATTCAATAGTTCAATAGTTCATGCGTAGGGTATTTGCTCTATTTCTTTGCCATAACATGAAATACGTACACCCAATCTTTCTCTCCATAACTCCTGCTATGAGTTGGACGTAGCTCGGTCTTGGGTTCGCATATTTGAGGATTTTGGTTGGATGAGGGCTTGGCCAAAGTGTGAAAAAGTACGAACTTATGTGTGCTTAACCATTAAGAATGTTTTCCTTGGTGCTTCTATATACTTTTCACCTTTTTTTGGTAAGCATAATTTGAGAAACTGTATAGCTTTAGTGTGTTACTTTCATTTGATTTGTTATTTCCATAATGTTGCAATTCCTTTTGGCCTTCCATCATTAGCGGTTCTCACCTCATTCACTCTTGCAGCAAAAGTGAATATGTCCGCTGTTTACGTTTCACTAGTGAAGATTCGCTCTACGTCGCTACCAACAATGGCTATTTGTTCCATGCTAGTTTATTTACTAATGGGTCTGTTAAGTGGAGCAAACTCACCCGAGTCAGTGGGGAATCACCAATTATTTGTATGGACATACTGTCAAATTGTTACAAACCCTCTGGTGGATTTGATGATTGGGTTGCTGTTGGAGATGGTAAAGGGAATATGACAGTTCTCTTGGTTGTCAGAAGTGACGGTACTCCAAAAGTGGAGTATAGTGTGACTTGGCTTGCTGAAAAAGAGAGGCATCTTTTGGACATTTATTGGTGCAAGTCACTAGATAACAGGTATTAGTTAAGTTTGAGTTGATCAGCATTAGGTGCCAACCATCAATAATTGAGTTACTTTCAGTTTTTACTATTCACTATTCATCTGAAATAACTTTCACTGATTAAATATTTGGTCAGAACTATAAGTCTATAAGCATAACTGGAGCCATTAGAATTGCATTTGAAAATAGATTATGCATGTTGCTTTGTTGCTGGTTACATACTAGCAGGTGCCTCGTTGTTTGGACACCAGCTAAGTATAAATTAAACAAAGACTTCTTCGTCTTCGATTCTGTAATATATTTTGAAAGTAAAAAATTCACATAACATTAACGCTTTACAGAAAAAAAATAAAATAAAAAAAATTACATGAAGCTGTTAAATATATGCAGGTTCATTTTCACAGCTGCTCCTGGTGGTAGATTGAAGTTTTGGAAGTTATGCCACAATTTTCCTCCTCATACCCTGTTCAGTAAAGGAAATGGTGATGTTTACCTAATAGCAGAATACTCATCAAGCTTTGGAATGAGGATACTGTGTGTGGATGCTTCATTTGATGAAGAGGTGAATGTCTTTATCATTAAATCACTCTCAGATTATTTGTAAGAGTTATTGATGTCCTGATCAATGAAAACATGCATACCTCTTTGGAATGTGGCTAATCGGATGATGCAGCGAGTTTCGTTTCTGGTACTTCAAAGTACATAAAATCATGATTTTTTTCCTTGTTCTTTGGCTGCCGTGTTTATTTTGCACTTACCATAACGTAGTTTATGATTTCACAAAGTAATGATGTTGCTGAACCGCTTTATGTTCTCAAATTTAATAGACATTACAATTGTCTACAGTTGCTTGTATGTGGAGATATTCGTGGTAATCTGCTACTATTTTCTCTGCCAAGAGGACTACTCTGCAGTACACTTAATTCTTCAGGAATGAACACATCTCCAGTGAATTATTTCAAAGGTGCTCATGGAGTATCAAGTGTCAACAGTGTTTGTATTTCTAGTGTCTCTCCTGATCAAGTTGACATACAATCGGTATGGACCTGATTCTGAAAGTTCCTTTCATAAAACTCACAATTCCAATATTCGTTTCCCGGAGTGATGCTGAAATAACAAACAATTAACTGTAGTGACATAACATGATTACTGATAATTACAAAGTTCATATTACAAAGACTTTCTTATTCGCATTATCTACTTGATACTAGCTCGTTAATTGAATCGTGCTCCCAATTCTCACCAGAGTGGAGCAGATGGATGCATATGCTACTTGCAGCATGACAGAGACTTGCTTAATTTAGAATTTACAGGGATGAAGCAAGTCAAAGAATTAAGTGCCATCCGATCTGTCTTTACCACTACTAGCCGCTCTGATGATTTTACTGTGAGCAAGTATGCAGTTGGATTTGCATCAGCAAATTTCATGATCTGGAATGTAACTGCTGGGACAAAGGTTCTCTCTCTCTCTCTCTCTCTCTCTTTCTCTCTCTCTCTCTCTCTCTCTCTCTCTCTC